AAATTATTTTCCACAAGCGAATGCTGTGAGTGAGACGGATGTCAAAGTCACTAATTTTGTTTATGCCAAGATATGCGAAGGTGTTGCTAAAACGGCAAATAAATCATAAACTATAAAAGATAGGATGTCCGTCCCCAAAAATAAAAATTTAATCAAAGGAACAATAATTCAATAATATATTGTTGGAATTAAATCACACCAGCGAAAGTAGCGGCAGTCGATGGCAACCTGGATGTTATGTCGGCGGAACGGACAGACGGCCGAACTCGAGCGCCACCAGAAAAATAAAGCCTTGCTTCTGACCAAGGTCGGTGGTTTCGGAACGGCTCCGGAGGTTAAGCGCTATCGGTACCCACGGGCAGTCAGTTGAACAAACAGCTTAGTCCAGAATTCGACGGGCGTTACGTCCGGGGTCGCAACTAAAACAGAATTACGGCAAAATCCTGCGTTTCGCACCAAAAGCAAAAAGATAACGTCCAAAAATTAAAAAATCTTTATTTAAATGTGCGGTCCTCTGACGTTCGAAAAATCCGAGACATGTTTCAAAATCTATATTAATTAAGCCCGCTTTTAATACCATTAGACTCAATACAATCAGACGAGGTTTGCTGCGACTCAATTAATTAACTATGGTTAATTACACTTACCTAAACGGTCGGATTAAAATTTCCAAATTTTGTGGCCCAGTAATGCCTATTGTTACCTGTGAAATAAACTGCATGACCTTGCAGCTCTAATGCTCGTTTTCGCCCTAACATTGGGACACTAAACTCTGTTAATAATTAATTAACGGGGCTGAAATTCGAACATATTAATTTTTCACTTGCTTGCTCATGCCGAGTGCTGTCGGATGGTACAAAAACAATTGACATGTCTCTACGAAAACAATTAGAAAAATTATCAATTAACACATCGTTCAATAAGTCCCGGGACTAACCAAGAAAACAATTATGATTTGTAAAATTTATTGTTATTCATCAACACAATCCTCCCCCATTCCAACGATACCATGTTTGTAAAACAATTTGTCCTTTCCTCAAAATATACTTTAGTTGTAGCGATGATATCCTCATTCGAGTCAAATATTTCCCGATAGCATCTTTTTGAGATCAGACAACAGCCAGTAGTAGCTGAGGGGTAGATCTGAAGACGACACTAGGTGGGAAAGCATATTGAAGCCCAACTCATTCAATTTGGCCATTGTTTTCATTGACCTGTGGCACGATGCATTGTCCTGATAAAAGATGATCTTGTAGAAGTACCGTCACTTTCACCACAAGAGCTTTTCTGCTTATGGTACAATTGACTTGAAAATCAAACACATTGCATTTGAAGGTTGGTTCCTTTGAAAAACGAAATCGACTTGATATCACCACTAATGCCATCTGTTGGTTAGTCCCGAGACTTATTGAACGATGTATTATATATAGCAACAGGTTTCCATATCGGAGGCTAAGACGGCGCTAGACACTAAAACAGGTATACTTCTACCTTCTGTTTTCAACTCTTAAAAGAAATAAATAGTTCCGAAGCAACACTTTTCCTAACGAAGAGTGTCAAAATACCGGGTGTTCGTTAAATCTGTTAGACTACAAAATGTGCGGTGTGTTCATTAATGCTGGTATGGAAATTGAGCGCTTCGATAAAGGTGAGGTGCATAAACGATGGAACCTAATTATGGAAAAATATTAATGCAAGAAAGTTTTCAATTAAAACAGTATGAATTTAGTTAAAGGATTATTTCCAATTCAAAAATAAAATTTTTTTATTTAAAACTACTAATTTAGATAGGTAGGTACCTAATGTGTTATATTGAAATTGTTAGAATAACATTTAGAATACGTAGCGATGTCCGTTATAAACTATATACAAAGTGTCGCAACATTTATACCCCTCTAAATCTCGCAAAATAAATGTTTTGACAAATCCAATAACCGGTCGGTTTTTATATTGACGGGGCTAATTTTCATACAATATAATTCTTGCAACTTTACCTCTGTACTACCTAGGGCGCAGTGCAACCTCCCTCAAGTGGCAATTTAGCGAATTAACCCAACCCCATTAACGGCAACCTATTGCACCGAACATGCTCTTATTGTAGAAGACCAACTGGTGTCGAAAAAAAATAGCCTCATTAAAAGCTTGCCGAAGGCTCATATAATAGATGTAGGTATGTCCACAATTTTTTCATGCAACTTTGGATTTGACAAAAAACATCCTTTATTCCCAATTTCGTCGACGAAAAATTGATTTAATACACAAGAAGTAAACGTAGTACTTATTCTGACTTGACCATTTTTTTAGACAGCCTGTTAGTTTAAAATCTTAGTTTATTCGCCAATTTGATAAAGAAAAAAAAAGAAAAGAAGAAGAAGCTATAAATTTTATGCCTTGAAATTAGTAGAGCCCATCCTGTTCAATTTTGTACCTACCAATGCTTGTTTAAATGATTTTCGCCTTGCGCAGATGGCCACAATAACCCCTTTATTTTCATTGAAGTAGATTCACGTGAAGACCCTTTCCAATAAAAATATTAAATAAAACCACAATAAATAGGTTGCTTTATGAAGGTTTGCATTACATAACGTTACAAGGTTAAATAAACATGATTATTTTCTGTAATTAGTGAGAGTGCAAAGACCTTTTTCACATTCTATTTCCGTATTTTGTCAAAACAAATCCAATAATTGATAACGTGTGACATTTATACTTATCGGTCGAAATGTAATTTGTTGGATAGAGATTCTTTATATTTATGCTTACTTCATCGAGGTTGTTTGAGATTTAGAGGGCTTTTGTAATCAGAACAAGCATTTTTTCCTTCCTTCTCTACTATACGACCCTCTTTCTTAGAAAATGCATGCACTCTATCGCAAATAAGATAGGAAAGAATTCTTTACATACAAAAATGCTGTACCTCTATGAACCTCAAGTAAACATTTCAACATGTGCCATACAGGTAAACTTGTAGGTATTCATTTAGCCTTCCCAATGTCTACTAATACCTTGTCAGACACAAAATGCGACTTCTGATTTATCCATTTTTTTCAAATTAAACCATGGTTAGCGCAAGCCCCTTAAGAAATATTCTAATGTATTTTCGTATATTACAGGAACTACAAGACATGAACAATAGAAGACATACTGACAACTTTATTCCATCGCAAAAATCTCCAATTCCTCTAAATAGATACGACGATTTTCTCGCGGAAGATAGTCCCAAGATAAAACCACGTCCCCGATCTCCAGAACACCGTTTAGTTGCTAGAGCCTTATATAATTTTGTGGGTCAGTCTGCCAGAGAAATTACGTTTCGTAAAGGAGACATAATTTACATTAGAAGACAGGTTGATAAAAACTGGTATGAAGGTGAACACAATGCGATGGTAGGACTTTTCCCGGCAAATTACGTTGAGGTTAGTCATGTGAAACTAAATATGGTTATTAATTATTATTAATACGAGTATTCACATCCCACTTTAATTTTAATGGATAACTGTTACTGTTAAGTTACCATCGTTTCGCCATAGGTATACATAAATTAGAGTAACAAATCACTAATAAAATTTCCTTCTTTATACTTTTGCTTAAATTTCACTCACATTTCAAGAAGTGCTTCTGGATGTACAAATAAGCAAACTGGGTACAATTATTATATCTTGTGGACAAAGTTATCAGAAACCTTGCCCACATCAGACACCCAAGTTTCGCAAGCCTTGTGTCTTTGTTTTATCCAAAATACTTGGCGGAACCCCAGCCGATGTCAGTCCATACCGTGGAACTTCCAATCGTAAAATTATACACTGTTGAACCCCAGATTATAAATTGGACCCCGATTTCATACGATTTTTACTTTATCAGTTTAACAGAAGCTTGAAATTTCGTACCCCTCTTCTTCAAGTTGTTGTATTTAAAGTTTCCCAGAGCCATTTGACAATCTTCTGAATATAAAATTTGAAATGCAAACTGCGATATTTGTTGTCCCACTGGTTCACGTATTACAGTTAATTATGAATGACCATTAATTGACAGTCTCTCTTCTAGATAATACCATTCGATGGTGTCAAATCAACTCCAAGAAGAAATCATGAAGGTCAAGCCAGAGCGAAGTTCAATTTCATCGCACAAACGCATCTGGAACTATCATTAGCTAAGGGAGAACTAGTCGTCATAACAAGACGGGTCGATGACAACTGGTTCGAAGGAAGAATAGGTGGTCGTAAGGGCATTTTTCCAGTCTCGTATGTTGAAGTGTTAATAGACGCCGCCAGTCCCCCACCTCCTACACCTCTTAGTAGTAAACCAGTTGCGTCACCGGCCGCCCATTCTCTTTTATTAAATGGATCAGCGGGTGGTAAAGAGTCAATGGGAAGTCATAAGTATACTCCATCAATGCCTTATCAACAACACTTCACCTCAAGTTACCGAGCTAAACCCCTACAAATTGCCAGCACTAGTTATGGATCGTCGTCCAAGTCTTCCGGCAAAAACCCTATCAATGAAGTTTTGCACATCGATACTCATTCAGAGCCAGTACCGTAAGTGTTTTTTGTTATACTTCTTATTAATCTCTTCCACTGATAAATAATATTATATTCTTAACTATTTACATTTTCGGTTGTATCCGCTGCAAAAACTTAGGTTCACCAGTGGCGACTCCTCAGGGTGGGCAAGGTGCGCAGTGCCCACCCTGAAAAATACAGTAAAAGAAAATTGAAAACGAAAAAATAAATTCATTTTCTTTTTTTTGTTAAAGTTCAGTAACAGTGTGCTTATTATAGAACAACAGACTCCAAAACATGTATTATTAATATACCTAACGTTTCATTTTCACCGAACGGCTCCAGCGCAAATCTACTTCTGTATCTCGGCCTATTACGTTATTGTGGATCGATCTATTTTTATTATGACTTAAAAAAGCAAAATCAATTTAGTTCGAATAATTATAATAATTTACGTACAAAGACAAAAGTTGAAGCTCTGAGTATGTGCTCTCGGTTATGCGGGGAGGGTTGGGCATTAGTGCTTGGGTAATTTATATCAAGGTTGCATTCTTTTAAACATATCCCCTGAATATTATTGAATATTACGCTTCCTTGGCCAATTTATTATGTGTTACATATGATAGTCAAAATGAGTCATTTTTTCCAGTCAGTCAAAATTGAATACCTATCGCAGTTAAAACTTAGCAAGGTCATGACTCTGCAATGTTACCAAATCGTAATTCGTGGGTATACTCTCTTTGGTGTTCTTAATCATGAAACTAACATACGCCTAACGATCAAAGTAAAACTTTCCTGTGTTAAAAGAAATCACTCGATTTTTTTAAATGTAACTAATACCGAATTTTTTTTATTTCATCAAATGTAGAATTTGATTTCCTTTGGAACGGTATAAACATGTCGGTACTTATCTTTTACATATTTTTTGTACCGTATATATACCGTATGCATACGACAAGAACTTTTTAATTAATGTGAAGAGTTGGTGCAATTTATTGAAACATAGCAAGCGCTAAAGGCAGATCCACATTGGTAAATATTTGCGTTGTATGTTGAATTTGACACACATTTGCTCGTGTGCGCCGCAATTTTTGTCAATGTGGACTATGCGCCGCACGAAAACGTACTTACGCAAATAATTTCGTGACGAACAACGCACGTTATTCACTAGGCTGTCGGTTTTCCAGTCAACTTCAAAGGGATTTGCGCCGAACAAAGTTCTAATGTGGACACATGGATTCAGCAAATACAACACACAACATAAATATTTACGTATAACTCTCGCCAGGCAGGAAAGATTACCGGTGACAGCACACCTTGTGTCGATTTACAATCTTTGTTTTTATTAAGATGCGAGCGACTTCTGGAATAGGATCGTGCTAATGTTGAACAAAAAGTCTTTTCGTTCAACATTGACACGATACTATTCCGGAAGTCGCTAGCACCTTACGAAAAACAGAGATTGTAGATCGGGATCAAGTGTTCTGATCTTTCCTGGCGAGAATTATAGTAAATACGCAACCATATTCAAATTTTTGGGACAAAATTTTGTCAAAATTCATTCAACACACACGGAAAATATTTATCAATGTGGATCCGCCTTAATTATGCATGAAAGCTTTTTCATGTTCACGGCAAGAGTGCGTTGTTTTAGTTTCTAACCCCCTTTGGTATCATTACGTTACACCTCCACAGTCCACAAATATCTAAATTCCTCGTTATTACACGTTCAAACCCTTTTCATTCTGAATGAGGTTTTTATATCAAATTTCAGTATAACTTTGTTCAAAATAAACAAAAAAGATTACAGCAGATTTAACACATGTCATTCTTGTGTAATTTAAATAGATAACACAATTCGTTTTATTGGTTAAGCTGATTGTCATTGTGTAAAATTATGCATTCAAAGATGTGATATTATGCAAGTTATGTCATTGTTGCAGGGGCAGATATACGTCAACATTTACCTACCCCGGGAGCGAATTTCCGAACCCCATCCTTATTCAGCGTACCCAATGATAACCGCTTCGCCGAATAGAGCCGAACACCTACAAACTCACGTCCTCCTATCTTTAATCTTTGCCATAGTTATTCAATGGCCATAGTTTACGTTTCCCAACCCGATTGAGCGCGCCTCGCTGAATTAGATGGGGTTTCGGAACTCAAATGAATGACGATGTACGACGTACGTAAAGGCTAGAGTTCGGGAATTCGCCGCTTAGATGGGGTAACTTATTGTTCGATTTAGATTTATGGTGGCGTTACAATTAAATAATCGTAACATACCAAATTATAACTCTACAGGTGAAGCACTGCCTCACTTGCCTCATCGGACAAGCCGCGACTGCTATTTACGCACAGTTGTACTGTTTTGCGAGAAATTCGTATGTTCAGTAACGGCCATGGAGTTTCACATTTGCATTATCTCTCTACTCGCTAATACAGTCGCAAATGTAAATATACTACTGTGGTACAGCAAACCACCGATTACTTAACATATCAGCTAGAATGCACGGATTAACATTATGGACATCAGCTGAACTTCGAATTGCAACCTTCCCGTTTAAAACGGGTTAACTGTATATGAAATTCTTACTATGAAAGATGTGTGATCGTTAATAATATTAATAATAATAATAATTACTAAACAAACAAACACAATAAATACAAGTAACGCAACATGCACTACAAAGACAGACCAGTAAAGTTACACCTCCTAGCACAGTTAAAAAACACAATACTCCTTCTTCTCAGAAACACACCACGTTATCACGACCCACTCGTATTCAACCCAAACGCAAACCCAAAGAAACACTTACACAATAAACTCCATTTAATAAAATTCCTAAACTTACAGGAATTATTATAATTATTTTTTTTGTTTTCCTCTTTCCTGATAGCGTTGGCTATTGTGCCCATCAATAGCTATGTTTGGTAAGTATGAATTACATACTATCCCTAGATTTCCTTAATGTGCGTGTGTGAATTTAATTTTTTTTTTAGACCCGACGGGCGATAGACCGGGAGATGGTGACACTTTTTGTGGTGTGATTTGCTACAAGTATGGCGACCATTCAAAGGTTTAATTAAGTACTCCTCAAAACGAAAATGGTGCTAACTCTCTGGGAGTGGGGCCGTTATTGCGTGACGATTGTTTAAACATGTCGGAAAATTTAATGATTTTGGACAATTTGCTAATACATAAAATTCTTTGAATTTTCTGGTAGTCGGTGACAAAACAAATGACGGAAACGAAATGCCATACTTTTCCGGTGGGCCTTCCCGGGTCGATTGTTTGATTTTTTTGGGTGATTTGCTACAAGCTCATTTTTTTATGAGCATCAAGTCCTCAATCAGTCATTCACGAAAATCAACCTGCCATACCGCACCGACGGGTCCGGATAGCCGCCATACCGGCGCAAAGATGTCATTTTTGTTAATAATTTTGGGTGATTTGCTACAGTATGGCATTTGGATTTTCCGAAAGTTCATGCTCTACTTTGATCCATGATATATGTGCCATACTCGTCATGAAGGCTAAAGATGGCGCCATACTCGAAAATCTGGTTTCCTAAAACATCTTTGTGTTATAACTGGAACAAGCAAGGAACCTTGAAAACGATCTTCACGCGAACTTCGGAAAAACAATTCATGGGTAAAAATGAACAAGAAAAATCATGAAAATCAAATAGGCATTTGTTTAAACATTTTATGTATTGTATTTATTTCGAAATAAGAAACAAGGTAAATATGATAGAATCACAAATTCAAACAACACTCAACAGTAATAATGTATAGATCATTTCATCGATTCTTGCGCATTCATATACTCGACTGGGCATACTGAAAATGAGTGAATCGATCATAGCCTGTGATACACTGTTCCAAGATTCTAAAAGACGCCTGTGAAGATCTCATTTACAAGTGTTTACAGGTGGTTATAAAGCATTTAGCCTCCGACCCACCATAACCCACACGTGTTAGGTCCAGCGAAGGGGAAGTCCATGGAATCATTATTACCGAGCTCCTAGTGAGTTTTTTTGCGGTGTCTGTCCGTCTGTCCGTTACAAACGATATCCCGAAAACGAGTGGACCGATTACGATGAAATTTCGCAGGTGGATTTTTTATCAAATTTGTAGATCGAAGTTCGTGAACTGGCAATGTAGGTCAAAAAATAAGGAAGGTCCTTTTTACATCTCCGTTAGTTATGAACCGATTTGCATGAAATTCAATATGAGTATATCTTTAGCCAAGTAAATCGCAATGCCAAACAAAAGTCCAATCGATTCAACATTCAGAGTGCCCTTTTCACATCTCGACTATTCATGAACCGAATTGCAAACTTTTTGATTTATGAAGGTATTTAAAATCATTAAATGAAATTCGTACGTAGGCACTTGGGAGAAAAGCAAATCTAACGCCAGTTTCAAAATTTGCTTTTGCGCATGCCGCATTGCCAACCGAGGTGCCAACTTTCTGAATTATGAAAGCATTTAAATGAAATTTGATACATACATATATATGCACTTAGAATAAAAGCAAATGTAACAACAGGTTCAAAATTTGGTTTTGCACATGCCGAGGCACATGCTATAGCCATACCCCAGGAGCTCGTTTGCTATAATTATTTAAACGTTTATTATTATTGTTATTATTATTATTAGTTTACCAAAGAATAATTGTTAGTTACTCTTTGGTGTTACTTTAAGTACACTGAGTGTTCAGATACTTATGGAGGGTAGTATAAACTTGACGGCAGCTGCTACCCACTACCTGCGATCCATTGAATGCAATGCCCAACACAACGACCCCGACCGGGACCTCTACAACTTGACTAAGGGGTCGAGTGGGACGGAGAATATTAAGCAACATAACATCTCGTGATAAAACATGATTCACTCGGGATTCATGTTTGAAACTTGATATTCACTTTTATTATACATACCTCAAACTGTTACGAAAAATTGGTGCCATACTGTAGCAAATCGCCCCAATTTTCCGAAAATTCATACATTTTTGAAACAATATTATACATAATTGGCCCATGCCACAGGTATGGCGTATCGAAATTTCTATTTCTGACTATAAAAATAACTGGTGGAAAAATGTATAGGGTGTAGCAAATCGCTCAAAATGATTAACAAAAATGACCTCTTTGTGCCGGTATGGCGGCTATGCGGGCCCGTCGCTGCGGTATGGCAGGTTGATTTTCGTGAATGACTGATTGAGGACTTGATGCTCATAAAAAATGAGCTTGTAGCAAATCACCCAAAAAAAATCAAACAATCGCCACGAGAAGGCCCACCGGAAAAGTATGGCATTTCGTTTCCGTCATTTGCTTTGTCACCGACTACCAGAAAATCCAAAGAATTTTGTGTAGCAAATTGTCCAAAATCATTAAATTTTCCGACATGTTTAAACAATCGTCACGCAATAACGGCCCCACTCCCAGAGAGTTAGCACCATTTTCGTTTCGAGGAGTACTTAATTAAACCTTTGAATGGTCGCCATACTTGTAGCAAATCACACCACAAAAAGTGTCACCATCTCCCGGTCTACGACATACAGACACTAACACTTAATCGTTACTTGATTTTAATTCGTGCTATTAGTTAGCGAGGCTAGACCTGAGTTCTGACAAGAGAAACACCGACCATAATAATAATAATAATAATAAACTTTATTGTCAATAGGACAATATTTAGAATCTAAAAAAAACTAAACGCTATAGACACCAGATCATACAATGCTGAAAGTGCATAAGGTGGAAATAGTAGATGAAAATGAAGACAAATTAAATTGGCTAGTATTACTCGACTTAGTAAATAAAAATTAACAATCGTAGGAAATGGATGAAAATGATTCAAAATTAAGTTTAAATTTTCTCAAAAAGCACTATTATCGCTTAACCATCTTAAGTATAGTTACGTAAGCAGTATTATGTTCGATAGATTGGTGTATTCCATTGTGAAATTAAAATTAAGCAGTGTTTTTGTAGATATCGTGTCGTGAGTAGATAAGTTAACAATTAAAGTAATGTAATTGTTATTTACTTAACCTATGAGGCTTGCCGTCTTGCAGAGGGAGTAGGTACATGCGGGCGTTTAGAATTGATTAAAAGTTTACACATTCACCATAAATAAATTTATGCGCATCTACTGAGTTTAAAGTTTCCAAACATCAGAGTTGTGTTTATCTCATATAAATACTTTTATATTGTATATATAGTTTATCTACGCTGCCAACTTAAAATTTGTCAACGTAAAAGGTGTTGCCAACTTAAGACATGTTGATTCTAAAGTTTCTAGTTTTTGATCATTACTTTCTAATTAAATTAAAGCACCGCAATAGAAAAAATAGTATGAAAAGCACGTGTTACAATGCTGTATTAGGTATAATAATCCTATGTTGTGGTCTGTGGACACTCGTGGCTCCGCTTCGCTACAGCACTCGTGCCACAATAGGTCTCATTTTAACACTTGTCTTTCACTAATTATACTATTATATGCGAATGCAGTCACAGAACTGTTCCGCCAAATGCGTCACCCGAAATGAAAAATGAAACGTTCGCAATGAAAAACCCTACTTTTATGACTCCCCTTTGTACTATCTGGCCAGTAATTTACATTTTATTCTTTCAGTTATCGTGCACTATACAAGTATCGCCCCCAAAACGACGATGAACTTGAATTACTAGAAGGTGATGTGGTGTTCGTACTAGAGAAATGTGACGACGGTTGGTACGTGGGATCCAGTCAGCGAACAGGAGCTTTTGGAACTTTCCCAGGAAATTACGTAGAGCGTATCTAGCATCAGGATCAACCCTCTGTATTATTTAGATTAAGAAATTGTATATTATTTCGATCAACTTAGTCATAACAACTAATTCCAAATAATAAGTAATGTGATTTGAATATGTTTAACATTATCACAGAGGCTAACTAATTACTACCTACCTACGTTTCGTATATTTAGGAAAAAATTATATTTTACTTACACTGATTGCAAAACACAAAAAAATTGTGCCAGAGTGAAGTTAAGAAATTCAGTAATGAAGATTTCATTCAGCTTTCCAACGGTACCTAAGGGTTGCAAAGTGCTTACTAATATAAATGCGTTAGGCATAATAATCTAGTCATTAGCTGAATTACATAAATCACTTTTGTATTTACCAAAGGTTTATAATTAACAAATGGCTTGACGGAAAAAAGAATGAAACAAAATTGTTCTTCCAAAAAATTAAGTCATTCTTATCGGTATGATGTGTCAATCATTTTTCTGTAATCATGGTACAAACTGTTATATTATCAATAATATACATTATTGCATGTTACCAATTCATTATTAGTAATATATTAAGTAAGTAATTTTGTCCAAAGAACATATATTTAATTTATATTTAGACTGTGGTAATCACTGCACGAGTAAACGCGAACTTTGATATCTTGACATAGATTAAGGAAGTTACTACTATAGGAAAATCAATCATTGTGTTCCTGTCTTGTCGGTCCCTTTTATAAGACTTTCGAATTAGGAGTGCCTTTTTGAATACAATACCTTATAACCTTGTTATTATTGTTCAGTATAGTTATCATGTTAATCGATGATAGATGAAGAAATACTCGTACTGCTTTTTAGAATATTACTTACGCATATGTTATTAATGTTACATTACAGTTTTTTTTGTTTATTTATAACATTGTTTTTCAATAAACACCACAAGAATATTTCATGTGTGTTTTGATGTTGTCCATACTGAAGAGATAAGTAGGTACACAAATGGTTTGATCATGCAGGACAGTGTTATTGTTAATTAACGCATTTTCCAAAATAAGAAAGATGTGATCGAATTGTCTGTTTCGTATGGTGACTGAAGCGCCTGAAGTATGTACTTCAGGAGGTCAGTAACACAGAAACCTATCCATAAGAATGTCAATTAAAGGTATGGTCAAATCAATGAATAAAGAATACCAGGAAGGAGCATTACTCAGGTTGTATACAAGAGAAAGTGCGACGGAAGGAAGTCGGTCATTTGCTAAAGCCACTTATGACTCATTTTTGTTGTGGTTTAGTTTTTGCAGTGACATAAAATAATGGTTAGTTGTTGTGCTTGTGGTTGCTCCAAAACGGAAAAAAATAAAAGTTTGGGAATTACATTTCATGTCTGAGTATTGATACCAATATTATTTTTATATAGTACATGTAAATTTACAAATTTTTTATCGGAATGTAGTTTGAGGTTAGTTAAACAAAAGTCATAGGCGGAGTAGACACATGGGGGTTTAGATTGTTTTCGTGTAAAATTCTTTATAATGGTATCCTTCTACAACTGTAAGATAGGTACGCCACTGGAACAGGAAACTACTGTCCGCCATTTGCAAAAGCCATCGCGGTCGCACGTATATTGTTGATATTCTCCTTCCTGGTATTCTTTATTCATGGGGTCAAATAGTCAGGTAATGTTGAGGCAGAGAACAAGTATCTTTCATCAGGATCCGTCTCTGGAACTCCCTCCAATTCCAACATCACTTAGTTTTATCGCTTCTGTAGTGTACGTGTAGGGACAAAACTTCTGGGCTCAACTCTTGACCCTATACGCCTAGTTCGTCTCCACGAGAGAGAGAAAGAGAGAGAGAGAGAGAGAGAGAGAGAAAGAGAGAGAGAGAGAGAGAGAGATCTTCATAAGTAAAAAAGTTGACATTTTGCAGTCTATGCACTATGTGCCATATGTTTACCTTTACTATAAATATCTGTGGTTAAAATTAGAACAAAATAGTCGTATATTAATAAATAAGAAATTTGAGATTGCGCAGCCTTTTCCTTGATTCAGGTGCCACAGCTGACAGCCATGTGCTACCGAATTCAAAAAGAACGAACTAAATATCTTGGAACACTGTAGAAGTAGTTAAGGCCTCGGACGGACAGAGAAAGTGGCTGCAATAGCGCAACCAACTTTGTTGGAAAATGCGCTAAAAAGGGAAAAATAGTTTTATAATTTTTTCCTATAAGTCACAATGAGTTAGTTAAGTAGTGTTCGAGTGCATTCAGAAATCTTCAAAAATAATATAATTACATCTACATATATATGAGCACCTATACTTTGAATATTTTATATTCAAAGGCCTATATTAGATGAGGTCTCCACACTGAAGAAAGCTTAAAGGGCCATGTGGATAGCTGATCTACAATTAATTATAGTAGCTAGGAAATCGGGATGAACTGAAATTAGTGTAAATGCAAATAATTTAAAATATGAGAATTGAGCATCAGAAAACGGTACAAAGGGAAAGTGGTATACGTTTCGATGAAACAATGTCTATCAGTAGGATTCAAAACAAATGTACATTCACCATCAAATTTATTGGAAATTTGGGCATTAGCTTCCCTGCATTTTTATTTGACGCACTTTGTGTTTATTTCGCCCAGCAGGATGAAATTTTGGAAATCATAATTAAGATGGACAAGGGCGGTCTTCTTATATGTAATTAACTTAACTATCATAATTAAACTTCTAAATTTCTCGTTGGTCTATGTGACGGTACGGAAATTATTGCCATACGAGAAAGCGGTCAAGGTTGTTTTTGTTTACATTTTTATTTTATTTAACGTAGAAATTTCTGAGAAATTTGTATTGGTCTTTATCTGTTATCAATTGTAAATGCTGACTTTAATTGACAGGTGGATGTGATTTATCGCCTTTTCTGTGTAAATGAGAGAGATGAATTTTTATTATTCCTAGTATTATAGTCTGATAAGAATTTGTTTAGACAAATTATTCGGCCTCTATTATTTCGGTCTTTTTTCGTACGTAGCAGGGATAGATTTTGTTGTCAACTGTGTAATGATTGGTTGTTATAATTTTGATTTTCGGAAGAAGGGTTTTCGCCTTAAAGTCGACAAGGAAAGAGGGGCCTTTTTTACGTTTAGAGCGGAACTACGTTCCGATTGAAATTTAAAATCAGCTTTAAGTCATATTCAGTGCCCAAATGCAGTCAATTTAAAATTCGCTGTACGCAGAGTTTACGAAGAACTGCGTATTATTGAAGATTTAATTCGCTTTATGCAAATTTCTGAACAGAACTAAGTTATTCAAATTTAAATCAGCTTTACGCCAAGAGTCAGGGCAGTATAACGATTGAAGATAAAAGAAGTTCTGTTTGCGTAGCCGGAAGGCGAGTTCGCGGCTAACTATTATTCTACGTGTCACGTTTGTTCGTGCTGGAGGATTGTCGTAAAGTTTTGACCATCTAATAAGGTGCTTCAAAGGCGCCCCCACGAGTGTGTTTTCAACGTGTGTATTCAAAGTGTAATTCTTGAATTGAAATTTGTAAGATTGTGTTTTGTGCACGGATATCTTTTATTTGGATTACAATTCCCGGACATGTAATTAATTTTAGTCTTTGTGTAATAATTGTTTGCTTTTGTATCATTTTCCTTGTGTTTGTTAGAATTAAATCGCACTTTTGTAATTTTCACATTAATTTTTGTCTGGTTCTGTTCACAACGACGTTAGTTCTAATTTACCTGTATTTGCATTGGATGCTTGCCCAAGGTCCATTTTAATTATTCAAAATTTTGAAGTTCAGTTTGGGGTTTAAAGTGTTTGGTCTGACCCACCATCTGTTAGAAGTTAATAGGTTAACTGAGAGCAGAGTCGAATCTCTCCTCTGTGGTGGGGAGAAGTCTTGTCTCGTGTTAAGTAACAAAAGTAAAGAGCTAGCTAGGGTAGGGTTTTGTTTAGGTGTTTTGTGTACGGCATAGAACAACAAACTTAGAATGGAAACTGTAATGTAATGTAAAAATGACGCGCCATCTCGTGTATGTTCTCAGCAGCTTTTTGCGTGAATGGCGCCAAATTTAAATATTAAAATGTAAGCTACGTCCGCATGATACTGAATTTCTCCGGATCTGTAACAATAACATTGGATTTGGCTAACTGAAACCGAAAAGGTAAATGAATCCAGCCAGTGAAGTCCAATTTTGTTTGTTAGGGGTCCAAATAAATTCAGTTTAATGCGGATGCACCTCACCAGTCAGGGCCTTCAAAGAGTACAGAGCACTTGTTTTATAAGTAACAACTCCAATTAATCCAATCCAGGAGTTATATTTAATTTAATATGATTATACAAGATACAAGATCAACTTCATGAAACTCTACTGTATGATGCTCTCGAGATCGTTCTAAAAACAAAATATGTAGCAATTTATTACAATTCAATTAGTGCTACCTGCTAAATATAATGTGCGAACTGCCATACGCTTTAAATCTCTTCGTGTTCCAGGTTCTAAAGCGCAGCCAGAAAAATGACGTTCACAAACCAAAAACTTTTGTGTAAATTTCTTCCACATTATATTCTAAACCAATTCTTAAAAACTTCGGGCTCCATTTTTGGGAAACGTCTTCACAATCTGTCACACAACATTTACGTTCTCGACTTGTATATGCATAATTCATTGTAATAATGAATAGTAATTATACTTAAAGCACAATAAGCCGTCAATCAAAATTCAAAATTCAACTGTCATAATGGCGCACAAGCACTAAAGTCACTAGATTTAGTAACTTTAACACGCCCGCTAACTATGCGCCATCTATTGAATGTTCTCCAAACTAACTATATCTGCACTCAGTTGTTCCCGTTTACGTTTCCCGTCTTTCTGGCCTACGGACCAGCTGTGCACACAGCATTATTATTTGGCGCCCAACAACTTGAGGCAAGTTCAGGGAAACGCAAAAGTAGGTCAAATTTTCGTATTTAAATTGAGATTACGGTTTTTTTGTCGTTAGGGCATTGAATCGAAGCCACCGTAATATAGAAAGCCACACACATGCCCCCGCTTCCCGAGTGCTACGTCACATCGGGAGTCTATTCATTTTCACGCTGCATCGTGCAGCCGGCACATTTTCCCATTATTTCGTAAGTATGGTGCACTTAAGAAATTCCCAAAATGTCTAAATATCTTTCCCAATGTATGATAAAACGATTGCAACCGATTTTAAACACAAACATTACGATTACTTACAACTGAATGATACGAGGTCTTCGTTATCCAAAAGAATTCATTCACTACTAATTATAACAATAACATTTAATATAAAATGCAAATCACACTTCACAGAGATCCGTCCTCAGAGTGCACGTGGTTACTACTGATGTAAATAATATTCCTCAATATTCTGATCAAGAAACCGTATGCGAGCGTGAAATTCTCCAATCCAATTTAATAAAAAAAAACAGTTTTCTCTGGTCTGGTGCAACCATGTCGTTTATTTTATATTACCTATCAATTGCCAAAGATAATGTAGTAAACGGTTCATATTCCTAAACATACGTTTCTTGATTTGTTGCAATATTGTAGGTATGTAGAACGTAATTTTTTGTTCTTGTCTGCTGAACGTGCCTTATGACTAGATATTTACAATAATCGTTCTTTAATGAACAAAAAGGTTAGCATAAATGAACTAAAGATTAAGTGAGTAAGGTTTTCTCTTTCAAATGCCGTTATAATTATTAAAATCGGTTCAGAACACCTATAATACAAGTTCGTTAAAGTATTCGAATATTTAGTTCATCGAAAAACAATTAATGGATATTACATGGTTTTAGGCGCTAAAGCTTGCTCTTTAAAATGTCGCTTAATTCATTACAATCCGTTCAGTACTTTCCAAGTTTCATGCAATAAAGCAAAGGTACGTTTCCCATAACGTTAATGCAGTACGCTACAAGTT